ATAGGTTAAAACTAATTGCAACGTAAGTTGCAATATTAAAAGTTGCAACATATTAATTACAGTTCCTATCTTTAATTTGAGTTATTAAAATTTGAATCAAATCTTCTTGATTACGATCCAAATCATTATCCTCTCATATAATTTCATCATCGCTTTTCACATTGCAAGTATCTTCTTATAAATTTTTCTCATTTTCTTTTATATTAATATTTGTTTTAGCTATTTTGTTATATTTATTTCATTTTTTTTAGCAAGCTTTATAAGTGTTTTTTTCTTTTTGAAACACTAACCATCAAACTTTATTTTTTAAAATAGAACGAAAAGTGAATTGCATGTAATTACATATGAATTATTCAATTTATAAGTTGATCATTGATAATTTTATCATATTTTTCAGTAAAATAATAATTATTGATGATTTTACTACATCTTTCAGTGAAAATTTTGATTAAAAATTAAATTTTTAACCTACAATTTGATGGTTAAATTAAAAATATTTTATATATATACATATAATTTTTTGCTGAAATAAAATGGACATTTATTAATCTAATTTAAAAAATTTAATCATACTTTTGTAGTCTTTGATCTAATCTATTAAAGTATAATGAGTTTTAAAATAAATATTTTCATTTTTAAATTATATGGTTATTTAAGAATAGGGCTTAAGACTTGATGTGATTAGGATGCTTGAGCTATATAAAATTGTGACCAAAATTACATATATAATTTAATGTTTAGACATATAAAAAATCTAACCAAAATTACATATATAATATACCGATTAGATGTAAAAAATTTAATTAAAATTACTTATACAATATACTATAAATTCAGTATTTTTCTGAATACAGAAAAAGGCGATTTTTAGTATCTAGTATATGGAAATTTTTACAAATTTATTATATGTATGCTTTCTCATACAAATTATTTATAAGGTAAATATTTATACAGTTAATATTCCTATATAATTATTATTTCTTATATAATTATTCTCTTATTATAAGTAAATTTTTATTAGGCTGTAATTATTAATAAACTTTTCTATAGTCATATTATATAGCTTTTTTATAATCATTCCAATTTTTTGATCTTGATTGACTATATAAAACTATTAATTAATTTTTTATTTAAGAATGGATCAATAGATAATAAATACATTATACAATCAGAACTCTCGATATAACAACCACTTAATAAAATCTCGAAAAACGATTTTTTTTAAAATTTTTGACTTTATATTTAATCTTTATAAAAAATTTTTAAATGTAGTAATTTTAAAATAATCATTACACAAAATAATTTCACAAGATCAAAATTATACCACGTGAACTATTTATTTACTTGAATATAACTTTGCCACAATTCATAGTTCTAAGCCCAATTTAAACAAATATAAATTACTTCCTTTTTCCTAAAGTTCAATACATTTCTTCAATGTTTATAATAAATCACAACACCGTGTATTTTTAATAAAAATTTGTCATGGTTAAAACATGGAAAAGTCTTGAAACATGGTTGCAAGAAAACTATTGCATACAATTTATAGTACGTATAGGAAATTTTTTTCCTGTATTATTCTTAATTGTATTAGTAGGATGGAGTTATTATGCCTTTGTTATTAGGTTATGCATATACTATTTATTGAATAGTAATCCTGAACAAGGTAAGTTGTAATATTAATAGATGAAATTTTTTCTGGAAATAAATTTTAAAATGCTCTCTCTTTTTATAGGAATAGTTTATCTTTTAATATATCACCCACTTTTTTTATTAATGATGTGGAGCTATTTTAAAGCTACTTTTATTTCACCTGGATATTCAACTGATGTGAGTTATTTTTATAAATGTCCCCATTTACCATGATGCATTTCCTCAAATTTCGCAACTTTATGATATAGACTGGGTTAGCTTCAGCAGATTCATCAATAACGACGTATATACCACTCGATCAACGTCGTTCAAATTCAGGAGAAACAACAAGCAATAACGCACCTGAATCAAGTAGTTCACCTTCAAATCAAGACCAACAAGAAGTAACTCAACAACGAAAGAAAGATAATACTTTAGTAATGTTAGATGAAAGTGGAAGTCCCATATCACTTGGATCCATTATGGTAAAACAAAGTGGCGAGAAACGATTTTGTCAAAAATGTAATTTTGATAAACCTGATAGAGCTCATCATTGTAGAGTTTGTAAAAAGTATGTATCATATTTGTATTGAAAAGTTATATATCATTAACAGTTTTAAATAATATTTTTATTTTTATTTTTAAGATGTATTTTAAAGATGGACCAGTAAGTAATTATAATTCTTAGTTAGCTTGAATCAAATTTACAAATGTTTTTAATTTAACTAATTTTCAAATTTAAATTATTCAAAAGTCATTGTCCATGGTTAAATAATTGTATAGGACATCGTAATCAAAAATCTTTTTATTTATTTCTTCTATGGGCTACATTATATTCATTTTTCATTTCATTAGCTACATTAATTCCAATAATTAAATATGCCGAATCAGCAGAAGAGGTAATTTATTTATCTAATTAATAAATTCCTCTCTCTCGCGACTAATTGAACTTTCTTTTTGTTTATTAGCCAGTAATAGAACTTGATTTAAATTGGACATTTTTAATATTACTTGGGGGAGTATTTTTTTTATGTTTGATAGGGTTCACAATATTTCATACTGGTCTAATTTTATCAAATCAAACTACTTTAGAAAGTTTACAAAAACATAATTATAAAGTGAGAGAAAATGGGGATGTTACAACAAGTAAATATTTGAATTTATTTGATATTGGTAGAAGGAATAATTGGATTCAAGTTATGGGTCCAAAATGGTACTTTTGGTTTATTCCTATTGGGTATCCATTTAGTGATGGAAAATCTTGGCCATTAAATTCTTATAGATATAGTACTTTATGTGAATCCGTAGAAAATTTAAACAATCCTATTCAAATAGTATAATAAAGAAAACAGTTTCACGTGAACGACTCTTGTGTAACGTATAGAAATATATAGGAAAAAAGTGGTTTTTTCTTTTTTATTTAATTCTCTATTTTCGCATACGATGGGGGAAAATAGGTTGCAATACAAGTTACTTCATAAAACGTCTGAACAACAGAAACCAGAACTCACAAAACCACTTAGTTTTCTCGATCAAGAAGTAAAACATCCATCAACACCACTAATAAATCAGGAAACGGAAGAAATATTTCAAGGTCTTACTACACCTGACAAGAAAGGTAAAAGAATTAAAAGGTGGTGGCATTGTTAACCAAAGATTTGTAAGACTAAAAGGTCTAATTTTTGTTGTTAATTTTTTTCAAAAATTTCATAAAAAATGTAATTTAATTAGCTGATAAATTGACTGTACAAAAGTTAGAACACTTGAAACGATTCATCGATGAGATAAAGACAGAAACACGATTAGATCGTGATGGAAAATTTCAAAAATTTCGAACGAAAGAGGATAAAAGAAAAGAGGAATCTCAACCCAGGTGATTAATTTCAATGTGAACACTATCATTTCCTAATTTTCTTCTTTTTTAAATATTATTTCCTCTTTTAGGTCTGTACCAACTTTGTTAGTTGATTTGAGAAAGCCTTTTAATAAATGGGATGTCATAAACAATCCTCAAAGACAAGAATTTCTTTCAGAAATCAATGCTACTTATAAATCCATGTGGAGTGTCATCGATGAAATCAAAAAATAGATACCCAAATTAGATTTATGCATGAAAAAAATTCTATATAACACCCAATGTTTTTATTATTGTATAAAAACAAAGTTGAAATAACCTTATAACCCTAATAAAGGAATTTTTTAGACAAAATCGAAGATCAAATCTTTGTGAAAATTTAATTATTCTGGAAAATAAGCATAAAATTAAATTTGTTTACCATAAAAAACCGGTTTATTAATTTAAATATATTAAGAAAATCTTGTATAACAAATTAAAACCTAGAAACCATTTAATTTAATTGCTGAATTCAAAAAAGTTTCACTCTTTGCAAAAAGTACATAAAAAATTTTCAATAAGATGACTAGTAAATCTCAACGAAAACTTAACTTCAATGTTGGTGAAAACTATGAAGTTTTAGATGTGGTAGGCGAAGGAGCATATGGGGTTGTTTGGTAAGTAATTATTTATAAGTTACCCGATAAAGTTGAACGAACCGGTTATCTAATATACTTTTACGATACAGCTCAGCTCTTCATAAACCAACCGGTCAGAAAGTGGCCATTAAAAAGATAACTCCATTTGATCATTCTATGTTCTGTTTACGAACCCTCAGAGAAATAAAGCTTTTGCGATATTTTAACCATGAAAATGTTGGTATCTATCAAAAAAAAAAAAATATATATATATATATATTAATGATCAAGGATTAATATCGTTTAATTTTATAGGTTATCGCCATTTTAGACATTGTTAAGCCCGAAACTTTGGAAAAATTTACAGAAGTGTAAGTGAATTTTTTGTTTTTTTTTTTTTTTTTTTGTTTAATTTAATTACTTAACATTCTTAAATTATTTATAGTTATCTCATTCAAGAACTCATGGAAACTGATATGCATCGTGTAATTCGCACTCAAGATTTGAGTGATGATCATTGTCAATACTTTATTTATCAGACTTTACGTGCTTTGAAAGCGATGCATTCCGCCAATGTTCTTCATCGTGATTTGAAACCAAGTAATTTATTGCTTAATGCTAATTGCGATTTGAAGGTATTATTTATTCTTTTATGATCGAACGATTCGGTTTGCATAATTAGCTTTATAATTCATCTTGAAAATAACTTAGGTATGCGACTTTGGTCTCGCTCGAAGTGCGAACTCTAGTGATGAACATAGCGGATTTATGACTGAATATGTTGCAACTCGATGGTATCGTGCTCCAGAGATTATGTTAACGTTTAAAGAGTACACCAAGGCCATCGACGTATGGTCTGTTGGTTGTATCTTGGCAGAAATGTTGAGCGGAAAACCATTGTTCCCTGGAAGAGATTGTATGCTTTTTTTTTTAAAAAAAAAAACAAAAACGAAAATTACATTACATTATATTATATACATATAGCGTTTTTACACTATTTGTTCTTTACTCATAATAATTTTATTTTCAATTTTTTGGAATGAATAGATCATCATCAACTTACACTTATCCTTGATGTACTTGGCACACCAACAATGGAAGATTTCTATGGCATCAAAAGTAGAAGGGTACTACATTTTTTTTAATTCTTTTAAATATTATATATCTATATATATTGTGTTAATTCTACTTTATTTCTAGGCTAGAGATTATATTCGTTCTCTTCCTTTCAAGAAACGTATTCCTTTCACTCATATGTTCCCTCATGCAAATCCATTGGCTCTTGATATGTTGGAAAAATTGTTATCCTTTAATCCTACAAAAAGAATTACCGTTGAAGAAGCTTTGAAACATCCATATTTGGAACCAGTAAGTATATTGTTAATGTTTTATCGTAATTATCAAATTTTTTTATGAATTTTTTTTTTTATTGCAAAATTTTCAAGTATCATGATCCTGAAGATGAACCATCTGCCGACCCAATTCCTGAATCATTTTTCGATTTTGATAAACATAAAGACCAATTGTCGAAAGAACAATTGAAACGTATGTATCAATATTTATTTTATAAATAATATCAATTATATCAATTTTTAATTTTTTTTAATTTTTTTTTATTCAGAGCTTATTTATGATGAAATCATGAGACCAATATAATACTAATATGTAAAAAAAATCTAAATGTTGTATGTATTCTGGGTATAAAGTTATATTTATTTATCTTGATTTTTTTATTTTTTATTTTTTACTTATTTAATTAAAAGAAATTTGTTAGAATAAAATATATATATGTGAACACGTGCACACACATATAATAATATTTTTATTTTATTTTTTTTTGCTTATAACATTACTCAATTCTTGCGTAATGAATATTACTCGGACATTTCTATATCGTCATCATCGCCTAAACCAAATCTTTGTAGACAAATGTTATGGCCGTATTCATTAAACTCAGCACGAGAAACCAACTTCTCGTTAAATTCAGCTGAATTTGCAAATTTAGCACCACCTTGCCATGCATATGTGACAGGACTATATCATGAATTGTTTTAAAAGATGTTCAAAATAATAATAATAATAATAATAATAATAATAATAGTAATGTTGAGTATACTTGCTTTTCTGACATTCCAACCCTAATTTCAAATTCCGTTGGTGCGAGATAACGTAAATCCTTTTCACTAATTATATAAGGGAAATAAATTTAGTACAAATGAAACATTTCAATTAGCAAAAAAAAAATAATATAAAAAAATTTACATTCTATTTTTATATCCGGAAAATAAAGAATTTCCACCGACCAGGATGATGTTTCCATAAAGTAATCCATGCAAATCTACATCATTTACAGATAAAGAAGGAAACATTTCTATACTCAAATTGATGAATAATAATAACCCAAAACGCCAAAAGTCAGTTACCACCAAAAATTCTTTTATTAAAAAAGAATAAAAATAAAAAAATAAAATAGAAGTATATTGTTTTTTTCTTTTTTTTTAGGACGCGTTATAGCCCAATAAAATAAATGAATAAATATAAAATGAAAACCATCCAAAAAAAAAAAGTGCAATGTAATAAAATGATACCAGGATGAGTTGCATTAATTGATTCCACTATTACTTCAGGAATTCCTGCTTGGTTCATTCCTAAAATTTATCACGAGTAATATTAAAAAATATAAATATACGATCAATATACGGATTCATCAGAAATGTGCTTATGATACATACCAACATCCATAGGATTAAATAATATTTCTGGAACAGATAATCTTTCATTGTTCATGTACAATACTTGTTCATCGGATTGATCATATTCTCCTCCACGTTTCTTTTCCTATAAAATACGAAATAAAGATGCAATGCAATTCTATAAAATTCTATAAATAAGAGTTAGCATAATAAATAAAAAACATGGTTGGTACTCTTATGTATCCCTTTGAATTTCTTGAAAAGTCTGGGAGAATGTATTCTTGAAGAATTGGATTATCTCGTGGATTTTTTCTAAATAATATTTGATGTTAGTCGCTAAAGATTTGAAAAGAGAGAATAAACAAATATTAAATTTATATCAACTTTACCGACAAATTTCTAGATCCGATAAAAAATCTTGAGAAACGAAACAACACGTTTCTTTAACTTCATTCATAATGTAGGTTTGTTCCATCATATCCCAATACCTAATCATTTAACAAAACAATTTAATGTTTAACAAGATTTCAGAATAAAATTATTTTGTTTGTTTAATAACATAAATTACCTAAATGATACGATCTCCTTCAGATGATTTGTTAACAATTTTCCTCCAATGTTGATCCTTGTAATAATTAGAAAATAAATTCTTTAATAGCAAATTATTTTATGCGAGTATATATAAATAAAAAGATCACCTTCTGATAGCTGGTAATATCGGTCTTCCCATAACAAAAGGTACAACATGAGTAAACGAATAACCAGAATCAACAACCAATGCACAATCAGGCACTTCATTAGGTTTATAAAATCGATCTTTATAAAGTGAAGTTGTGTCATTTTGAATACATAACCATGGAGCTATTTACAAAGTAAAGTTCAATAAGTAAATAAATAAATATATATATATATTTTTTAAAAAAAAGAGTTAACGAATCTTCATAAGCTATACCAATTGTTCTATAATATGCTTCGAATTCATATGCTTCAAATATAACTTCATCATAGTTTTGTTGAATGTTTGGTAAATTAAAACATGGTTCTGTAATTAATAAAGTAGTATTTTTCGGATCGCACTAAACAAATTAATGATGCATAAATGAATTTTTTATATTATGTTACCGATTCACAAAACTTATATTAAACATACATTAAGAACATCTTTAGAAAAAATTCTATCCCAAACTTCCTTTTCATTTTGCCAATTTATTAGAAATCCCTAAATAAATATTTCACAATAAATTAAATAAATTCCTTATTCACAATTAAGCTTTAGAGTTTCAAAAAAGAATTATATTGAACCTTTTCAAATGGTAATTTATAATATAACCCAGTAAAATCTGTACACATGCTTAATTGATCCCCTATATAAGACTTTTTGTCGCCTTTTCCACGCGTCACAATGCAATTAGGTATAGTTCTATAAATATAAAAGTAAAAATAAAACAAACTGTAATAAATTAATAAAAAATTTAGACTTAGTAATTTTTTTTACCTTGCTTGAGTTGAGTCAGCATAACCTGCCTTAATTGAGTTCGCGCCATTATCAAGTACCAATACCTTTCTTCCCGACATTTTCAAATTCCGCTACAAAAATAAAAGAATTTTTTGTTTATATATTTGTGGAACAAATCAAAAATTTTTATCGAGATCGCCATACAATTATAGATTTGTAATTTGATTTATTATAAAAATATTTAAAATTACGGCTGTTAAAAAAACATCATAAAAAAAAATTAACTATACAAATAATATTTAAATAGAATTAAAAATAATAATTTAATCTTCAGCATCACTTTGGTATGGAGTTGGTTGCCATATAGTTACTTCATTAGGGGCCAATGGTCCTAACATCTCATCAGGCCAACGATAATTTGTTTCGTTGCTATCATCCACATCATCGAACACATCATCATCATCATCATAAGATATTTTGTTCCCAATATTTTTAAATCCTTGATCAAATGTTTGTACATCTGTTGATTTAATATTCTCCCACTCAACTGAGGTGAAAGGATCTTGCTCGTCGACTAGCGGTAAAATAGGGGTATCCCATTCTGATCCATCGCCACCATTGGTAAAAAGAAAACCATCATCATTATAATATTCATCTATAGTATTTAAATGGGGTTTCGTGACGGAGAAGCCATATACTTCATCTTGAAGCCACTGTTCCCAATTTGACAAAAATGACTCATCTAACATAATATCATCTGCAATATATGCAGAATTTACATGATTTAGAGACTTCGTATGATGTGGAGGGAATATGTCGGGTGAATTCCTATTATCATTATGATAAAGTAAACCATTTTGATGATCATGTGTCATATAATTCCTTTCATTATAAAATTTAATCAATGCTCGAAGGCTTTGTTCTTGAGGCTATCGAATAATAACCGACGATTAATTAAGAAGATTTAAACAAAATTTTAACAAATAACATATCACTAACCAGAGCATCTTCAATTTCAGCATCCGCATCAGATGATGCAATCCATTCATCTCGTAAATCTGGCCGGCAATGCAAGTATATGGAGGTGATTATTTTCATATTACCTATTATTTCAAAAAATTACATTATTTTAGCATATAATTAATTAATAAATCAGATTAAATAAAAGGGCTTACCTTGACGCCATTTTCTACCGATAAATGGAATTTGACTCTTTAAAACTTTCAAAGAATATAGTTCTAATAAAGGATGCGAAACTTTAAGGATCCTTTTTAATATGGCCTACATTTTTTTAAGGAAGTCATTATTATTAAAATAAATTAAGTAAATTCTTGATGCGAAATACTCACAGAAGACTTGTACTGTACTAACAATACCACTCTGTGCGTCTTCTTTTTAGTCAGCTTTTGCAAAATACGTAAGAAATTTATTGCGGAGAAAAAATTTCGCCAACAATAATCTGAATCTACATTATTGTCGATTAAATTTAATTCATCGACATGTTCTATCTGCGGTTGTTCTTTTGATCTCTCATCCTCGGGATTATCATCACATGTTTTCCCAGATCCATGTTTATCATTAATATTTTTACAATATCGAAAGAAGCTTGATTATAATTAAATGAGTAATTGTTACTTAAATGTTGTTAAATACTTCATTTTATCAACAACTGATGCAATTGTATACTTACTTTAAATCCTCGACATCATTTCTAGATTTTATAGTCAAGCTTACATCCTGTAGACCAAACATTTTCAAAATTAAAAGCAAACAATTAGATTCAACCAATAGTTGAGAAACATATTCGAATTTTAAGATATCTAAATTATAGTTAGCTTTATTAAGGAATAAAACTTTTTTAAGATTTATTAAAATCCAATCGATCTTTTTTTTTAAAACAAAAAAAGGATACGGGACAATTTCAAATATTTTAACATTAACAATAAAATTGCTGAAACTGCTTTAGATGTAATTTCTCGATGTCTCATAATATCAATTTCTTCAACACTATTTCCATTTGAAGATGAAGAATAAATATTGCTATCAGGTGATAAACCTACAAATATTAAAATGTAAAGTCACTATGTAAATAAGGATATATCTTTTTATTTTGGCATTAAATATACAACAAACCATTATTTATTGTAACATTCTCCTTTGTTATGCTATCACCATTATCATTTACTTTGACATTATTTGAATTGGGCGAAACAGTTGCAAGCAACAATTTAAGTAGCACGATAACAATGTATTGCATGTGTGGTAGGATTGACCTCTATTATAATTTAAAATCATTAAGAAGAACATTGTTGTAATAATAAATGATTGATGCGAGTTTAGAAATATAAAAGGATACATAAAGAAGTTCAATCCTGTCCAACTTTTCTCTATCTCTTTTTGTCACCTGCGCTTCCGTGTCATTAATTCCATTTGATATTTCCCTTCCACAATTTGATCTGTTTTTTTCGTTATGTAATCTCACATCATTTATTGAATAACCAAATTGTTGTTTCTTCATCTCATCCTTCTCTTTCCAAAATTGTAAGATCCCTAAGTTTGTATACATAAATTTTAAATATAAATCTCCTGCTTCCTGTATTGATTTTGGCACTGTAGGTGTAGATTTTGAGAATGGAAAAATAAAAGGTTGTCGTTGATTTGTTTGAAATTGTTGTTTACGTGATTTTGGTGACGAATTATTGTTTATACTTGAAAAACTATTCTGTGTAAATACATCGTTATTATTATTGCTATTAGGATACTGATTTGCAATTATGAAAGGCATAGGAATAACTGGACTATGAGGCGGAATATATGTTGGATATTTTTGAGTAGCCTCGGCTTGAAAAGTATGATAATCAATTGGAGTTGCCTTAGTCGAGAATTCTAATTATTGATTGATTTATTTTTAAAAGGGGATAATTAGTTCAAATAAATGACTAAAAAGTTTTTACGTATATATTACCTTTATTATTTATAGGTGGCAATCCATTTATTAATCTAACTACATCCTTCAATTTTCGGACATCACCTGACCCACCGAAACTTGCCAAAATAACTTTCCATAATAAAAGAAGCAACTATATATATATATTTATTTAATTAAAAATATATTCCTAACATGTAAGTATTAAGATTGTTGGTTACCTTTTTTACTGGATATCCTTTGGCATTCTTTTCTTTTTCTCGTAATGACGCGATGATTTCAAAAAGAAATACAGACATTGGTGGATCAAGTTCGACTTAATTATATATAACAACATATTATATATAGTAGATATTAATTGAATTAGTATTGTCTCTTAGATCCTTATTAGATAACTGCTTATCCAATATACTTTAAGAACAAACCAAGCTCTGAGCCAAATGATTCGTCTCCACGATGAACTTCGACTAACATATATAACAACGTTAAATAGAATCCTATCTCGATATTTGTGTCATCGATATAAGCCTGTCGATCTGAAATAAAATCTGGATGGCTGTAATGTATAATTTAGAGAATTGTAATTACATAATAATTGAAAAGCAAGATCTAAAAAAAACGAAAAAAAAACGAAAAAAACCTATAATGATCATGAGCATGACAAGCCAACTTTAAGGCTTGAAAATATGACAATAGTGCTCCACACTTCCGCAGCAATTTATTATTTTCAATTATCAATTCGAGATGATGTTCTGGCGAAGTTGATTCCCCAAATGTTCCTGATTATTCAATAATAATCAAATTTTAAAATTTACTTGTCAAACTATAAGAGATTGTAACAAATAAGTTAATTGTTAACCTTGAGCAATATACAATAATTTTTTGGCAGTACAGAATCTCTTTTCAGGATCCTTTAATTCCAAAGTTTCTAACAGGTATTCAATATAAGTACGGCGTTCGGATATTGTACAAGTAGTCCAAGCTAATCAAAATTGGCCAAATATTTATTTAAGTATGAACGTAAACGATTAAATTTAAACTTAATTAAATTCGAAACATTTACATTCGTCGAATCCTTCTTCAAATGACTTTTTGTTTTCAAAACATTGTGAAATTTCAACATAACTATAAAATTCATCAATTTCATTTGAAATACTGTCAGTATCAGTATAGGTAAAGGCGATTTCTTTTGGCTAAATAATATATTGATAAATCTTTATTATTAAATTCCCTCTATAAATTTTTTTAAAAAAGAATGCAAAGTTACAGTTTTTTTTTACTTTTTGTTTATTCGGAAATTGTTTTACAATTTTTTTCAATTGACCCAACGTTAACGAGTCATTAGGGACTTCGTCGTTTATTTGTTCCTCGACAGTTAAGTTCATTGTCCTGCTTTCTATTGAATACTCCAACATTTCTATTTATATTACATATAAATATTAATTGTGATGGATTGTGCAACAGAAGAAAACGTAATATTATGCAATACAATGACGTAATTTAATTCTGCTTTTATATATATATATGTGTCGTTTTAGAAAAAGTAATTATTATTATTAAAGCAAGCAAAATTATTATTTATACATTATTACAAGAAAATTCTGCTCAAAAAAATATTAGAATAATGGAATTACCAGAATTGGGACGTCATTGTGCTAATACTTCGTGCAAACAATTAGATTACCTTCCTTTCAAATGTCAACATTGTAAACAAGAATATTGCAGCGAACATTCGAATCCAAAAGATCATAGTTGTCCGAATGCACCCAGTGACGATGGAGAACGAGTACCTGTTTGTCCTGTGTGTAATGTTCCTGTTCCTGTTAGCCGTGGAGAGGATCCAAATATTAGAGTATGTTTTTAACATAAAAATAAAAATATAATACGTCTTTATTTATTTTCTATTTTATACTTTTATAGATGAACTTTCATATAGCCAACGACTGTCGACCTCCGTCAAAAACAACTTCTTCTAAACCGTTTAATGCATGTTCTTTTGGAAAATGTAAAACAAGAAGTCCTCTTCCTCTGGTTTGCTCAGGCTGTGGAAAAAATTATTGCATCAAGCACCGTTTGGAACTTGATCATCATTGCGATAAGGTGAAAAAGGACAATAAGGTGTCCAATTTTTCAAAATTAGAAGCTTTAGTAACAAAGCCTTCGACAACAAATGCCTCAAAGTTTGTGTCAACGTCAAAACCAAAACCTGTAGCTTCAGCAAAACCAATAACACCTTCTAAATCATCGAAAACTTCCATAAAAAACTGGATGGGAAAACTCTTTAAATAATTTTCATTTTACTATTTTTATTACTTTCTTTAGTTCATTATTATAGCATTATATTTATATATATTAATATCCCACTTCAGACTAGAGCATAGAAACGAAACATTCTTAAAGATCACTCATGTATTTTACATCAAGCATACAAATACTAATATTTATTTGCATTTAATTCTTTAAATTCATTAAAAATTTAGCCCTTAAACATATTATTATTAAGTAGGAATAAATCAATAACCAATTTCAATAAATGTATTTGTGCAAATAAAAGTTTCTTTTCAACCTGCGGTCTTTTATTTCTAATAAAAACATAGAATAATTATTAATAATATTACAAAGTCAAAACTGTTATTATTCTTGAGAAATATTTCTTCAAATTCTTTATATCACAAAATTTATAATATTATCCTTTGATTAATATTGTTTTTTAAGAAAATTTATTATTAAAGAAATATATTATATTTATAATAGTGAACTCAAAAGAAATCTGAGATAAGTTTATTTTTATATTATAAAAAAACACTTTTGTATCCCGTATATATGGATTAGATTCCGTCATGCGGATAAACAGATATCCGCCTCTATAGGTGTTCAAAAAATAAAATGGACATATTACTCTTGTTAAATATCGGCATTTTTCCTTCGCCGAGAAAATCACGCGTACAATAGACGCAGTGAAATTACTGAATCTCGTCACATGCAACGGCACAGCAAAAGTCTGGCGCCGGCATAAAGCATCTTCACGTGCCGAATACTTGAACCTTTTGCCAGTATCTTAATCAAATATGGATATGTTGAACTGGAATATTGTAAAAACGAATTGTAATGGTAAGAGAGAATCGAAAGTCTTGCCTTGTTTTATTTTTATGTTTCATTGCTAATAGGATTGAAATTACTTCATCTCGGGGAAGTTCTCTTGCGGAGAATATTATCTTACATAGACTGTGTGGGTAGGGGAGATATATATGGGAGAAAAGATTATGGTGGTGATATTCTCGTAGTTAACATTAGTGATAGAAACAAATTATCTTTAGATTTCCGAAAATGTGAGAGCAAAGAAATAACTTGATGCTTAAAAGGATCCGCGTACTTCCTCCCTCTTTGATAGCATCATATATTTCGCTTACTCCACCTTATATTATTCCTTAGCAGGTCTCTGAAAATAATGAAAGTTTCGCTTAAAATTAGGCTTTTAAAATATCGAGCCTCTGTGCGCGAACTGGTTTTTTTATTTTAAACCCGACTTCTCTAGTCCAGCGAACTGGCCAGCCGTAAACGCTTTCTACACATAAAACTGTAGACTTACGATATGAATAGGTAGATATAATTAGTGATAGTCCAAAATTCGCGCGTGATTTTATCGCAATGAAAAATTTTGATCATGTGATGTTTGATCATATGAATAGGCAAGCCACTATCACATCACAGATATGACGCAATTTACTAAAGTAGCATCCACCCTTATACTATATCAACTAACGAAGTTAGAGTCAAATATAAATTTTCTTTAAAGCTTACTAACCTTCTAATCGGATACTAACAATCATTGATCATTAGAAGGTTAGTGAGCTTTAGAAGAAAATTTAGATTTGATTCTAGTTCTCCAAGACCGGTTTTAGGTTTTCAGTTTCAGATCATTTTAGACAGAGACTGATCTGAAATTTTTTTTTTAAATAAAATGTTTACTAATTTAGACCAGTTACACATCTAAAGCAGTTTATTGAATTTAATTTAACTTATCATCATATTGATCTTACATTTATATTGTATTAGTATAACATCATATTTTAATTTAATTCTTTTCAAAAAAAATGGAGCATACATTTAATAAAAGTATAAAAGAGAAAACTCAAGCATTATTTGGAACCATTTTTTGGTAAGAATATGATAATGAGGAGAAACAATTATATACTATTTGTTAAGTATGTAAAAATAAAAATATAATTAAGTATTATAAATGAACAACTAAAGATGGTTCCCATAATTATTTTTAAATTTTTAACTAGTTGCAACTTAAGTTGCAACATTTTGAGTTGCAACATTTTATGATTTTTTATATTAAAATAAATTTACAAGGAGTTGCAACCAAGTTGCAAATCAAGTTGCAACTTACCGAGTTGCAACTTCTTAATTATGATGCCCATCTTTATGAACAACAGATACTTCAATGTCTACTACTCAGCAATATCTTTTGCAGGATCATAGAATTGATAAAGATCATCTAAAAGAGCCAAAAATTACAGATGGTAATATTAGGACTACCATAAAACATATTACTATAAATCACCAATTAATTTGCTTATAAACTTTATAATTCTTGATTATCAAAATATGTTTTACAAATTTGAATCAAGTTTTCAAATACAAATTGAAGAAGAATGCAAAATATGGTACAAAATAGTTATAATAAAATAGGAAAAAATCTTAAAGAATTATTAAAATTAAAATTAAGCATAATTATTATTAATATGACAATAGATCTTTAGACTTCCTGTTAAAATAATAGTTATATTGGTATAATAATCTCATAGTTAGACCAAAAATTGAAATTACATAAAGCATTAACATAGAATAATCGTCTAATTCTTATATTTCTAAAAATATTAAAACTGTTTAGAAAATATTCTTGAAAAATGAAATTTAAAAGAAAAATGTTTTGCCCATAACAGACAATATTCTAAATATCAAAAAAGCAATTAAGTAGGATAAAAATGGGGTTTCTGGGACAGATTTCAAAATAGTATTCAGAAAAGATTCCTGACCGCTTGCGAACCCATTTTAGCTATATGAATCAATTATCAAATTCAAACTTTTAGCGCATTTGACTCAATTCTAGATGATGTTATCGAACTTGACTAGGAATTAGCCTGTCTGATACCAAGAATTACAATGTTTGA